ATTATTGTAGAATTCCAAAAATTAAGGAAACTAAATATTTGAAATCTTTTATATGAATCTAACAGTTTAGGAAATCGAATAAATTTAGAATACGTATTCTACTTTTTTTAGAATTCAGTAAATTGTTGATTTTTTTTCTATACTCTAGCGTTTTTCTGATGAATTTTCTTCTTTTTCATGTGTTTAGAACTTGAACATGATCAAATGTATGTAACTAATGCATAGTGTACATATACCAAGTATAAGTGATTAAAGATTTGCAGTATAAAAGTAGACTTGTAAGTAAATGTAGAGCAAACACAATTAGCTATCTTTTAAAAAGATTAATTATTCAGAAGGGTCTTCATAAATAAATAGGAAATGTTTTAAAAGAAATCATTAGTGAAACTTCAAAAATAATGACTAAATTATTAAGATTGTTATTATTGTTTCGAATTAAAAGCATGAGTAGTTGCATTCAAACTCTATAATTCATTAACAACATGTTGTTAAACAAACAAAAAACCAATTTGTGTTGGTTTCTTGATGATTCAGAAATAAATCAAAATTACAAACCAATTTGTGATGGTTTCTTAACGATTCAGTAACGAACTAGAGTTCATGATTTACGAGATTGATGCTTGGTTCTTTTTGTCTTAAAAAAAATATTCTCATTGATTAAATAAAAATTATTAAAACAAAAGAGAGGAGGAAGCCTCGAACTTGAGACATCAATCAAAAATTTCTAACTCATCAACCAACTGAACCAATAAATATTATCGTAAATTACTCTCTAAAATCTATACTTATAAAAGAGAAGTCACTTTGCTTATGTGTCGCAATGAGAGCGATTTTAGGAGAAAAAAACGCAATATGGGCATTATTATCATAAAACGGACTTCAATATTTAATTTGTTAAATATTACTTAATTTTTAGGATATCTCTATAATATTAAAAGAGAAGTACATTTAGGAGAATGTCCAAAATTGATTCCAATATTACTCAAATTGCCATTGTTTTATAACTAAATTGATTAAATTGAAAAGAGTAATTTTGAGTACAATTTCGGCTATTTTTATGTTACGAATTAATTGCATTTTCGTTTTTATTTTTGAGGCACATTAATGGCATTTTTGCTATTTTAGGAAAGTTTTGTAAAATCAGAATTAATTCACAAATATTTAATTACCAATCAAATTTTTTAAAAATATTTAATATCCCTTTATATCGACATATAATCAATTTTAAGAATTAGATCCCCATTCATCTTTGCTTGATGATATTTTTTATATACAAATTAAATAATAAGATAATTTATATGATAA